CATACTATTTATTTATATGTTTTGTTTTGTTTTGTTTTTATATGGAGTTTCACTCTATTGACCAGGTTGGAGTGCAATGGCACAATCTTGGCTCACTGCAACTTCCACCTCCCGGGCTCAAGTGATTCTCCTGCCTTAGCCTCCTGAATAGCTGGTATTATAGGCGTGCACCTCCACGCCCGGCTAATTTTTATATTTTTAGTAGAGACGGGGTTTCACCATTTTGGCCATGCTGGTCTCGACCTCCTGACCTCAAATGATCCACCCATCTTGGCCTCCCAAAGTGCTGGGATTACAGGCATGAGCCACTGCGCCCGGCTGCTAATTTTTGTATTTTTTATAGAGACGGGGTTTCACCATGTTGCCCAGACTGGTCTCAAACTCCTGAACTCAAGCAATCTGTTCACTTTGACCTCCCAAAGTTCTGAGATTATAGGCATGAACCACCGTGCTCAGCAGCATTTAGATTTTCAGTGTTAGGTTCCTGCAACTACATTTAAAACTTTTGATTGGAAAAAACTCATTGATTTGGTCTTTAATGTCTCTTAACCGGTTAAATCCATTACCTCCACTTCACGTGGGAAAATCCAATCGGTATTGGGAGCAGGGGTTTGGTGTTCTTCTCTGACACAGATCTGTGGCATTTGGTAGGGTGGCAGTGAGTAGATGGAGTGAAAATTACCTTGCTGGTGTTAATAAAAGCTAACTTTCTTGCCTTCTAGCTACGACGTCTTTTTTTTTTTCTTTTTTTTTTTTTTTTTGAGACAGAGTCTTGCTCTGTCGCCCAGGCTGGAGTGCAGTGGCACAATCTTGGCTCACTGCAACCTCCGCCTCCTGGATTCATGCCATTCTCCTGCCTCAGCCTCCGGAGTAGCTGTAGCTCCGGAGGGACTGTAGGCGCTTGCCACTACGCCCAGCTAATTTTTTGTATTCTTTAGTAGAGACGAGATTTCACTGTGTTAGCCAGGATGGTCTCGATCTCCTGACCTCGTAATCCGCGCGCCTCGGCCTCCTAAAGTGCTGGGATTATAGGCGTGAGCCACCATGCCCGGCCACTATGACATCTTAAAGTCTTCTATTAAAGATTAATTCCTTTGGGTTTTGCATTGCCCTTGCCTGGTTCTTGCTTTTAAAATGTTAATGCTCCGAAGGAAAATTTTGGCATTAAGTCATTAACTCCTTAGCTGTGGACTTTGTTTATTTTATCCTTGACTTCCGCTTCTGAGTTAGGCAAAAAATGTAGGATTCTGAAGTGGAGACTTGGCACTAAAAGTGGGAAAATGACTATCTCTTCATTTTTCCTGGCTGTCGGTTATGCCTGATGCAGGTGCTTGTTAAGGCCTTACTGAATGAATGAATGAATGAATGAATGAATGAGTGAATGAATGCATGCATAGCTGACTGGCTATGGATTTAGGCCTTACAGGAATGGAGTTTAGGGACATAGCAGCTGACCTCCTGAAGCCTGGAAGTCCCAGGGCAGAGAGGAAGTGCTGGGTGGGTGGTATGCTTAGTCTTGACTTGTTCACAAAGCCCCTTCATCTTCCACCCTAGCCGCCAGAGCTCAGGGAATATCTGAACCCAGGTTATGGTTGGCGGGAGGGAGGGAACTGAAAATTCAATGACAGGTTTTTCCTTTGCCATGGCTAGGAATAGGGCTGAAAAATGGGCTTCATCTCATTTGCCTCTCTGGCCAGTTGAAATGCCTCTCAGGAGTTCTGTGTTAAGAAGGATTCTGAGGTCCAGAGAGCCTCATGGTCAGCTGGCACTGTCTGCCTGGGTTTGGGGTGGGGAAAGCAGCACCATGTATATTGGAGTCTGACCTTGGAGGACTAATTTTGTTCCTTTTCCCTCTGTCTCTAGGGACCCAACCAGAGCCTGGCCTGGGAGCCAGGATGGCCATCCACAAAGCCTTGGTGATGTGCCTGGGACTGCCTCTCTTCCTGTTCCCAGGGGCCCGGGCCCAGAGCCATGTCCCACCCGGCTGCAGCCAAGGCCTCAACCCCCTCTACTACAATCTGTGTGACCGCTCTGGGGCGTGGGGCATCGTCCTGGAGGCCGTGGCTGGGGCGGGCGTCGTCACCACGTTTGTGCTCACCATCATCCTGGTGGCCAGCCTCCCCTTTGTGCAGGACACCAAGAAACGCAGCCTGCTGGGGACCCAGGTGTTCTTCCTTCTGGGGACCCTGGGCCTCTTCTGCCTCGTGTTTGCCTGCGTGGTGAAGCCCGACTTCTCCACCTGTGCCTCTCGGCGCTTCCTCTTTGGGGTTCTGTTCGCCATCTGCTTCTCCTGTCTGGCGGCTCACGTCTTCGCCCTCAACTTCCTGGCCCGGAAGAACCATGGGCCCCGGGGCTGGGTGATCTTCACTGTGGCTCTGCTGCTGACCCTGGTGGAGGTCATCATCAATACAGAGTGGCTGATAATCACACTGGTTCGGGGCAGTGGCGACGGCGGCCCTCAGGGCAACAGCAGTGCCCGCTGGGCCGTGGCCTCCCCCTGCGCCATCGCCAACATGGACTTTGTCATGGCGCTCATCTACGTTATGTTGCTGCTGCTGGGTGCCTTCCTGGGGGCCTGGCCTGCCCTGTGTGGCCACTTCAAGCGCTGGCGTAAGCACGGGGTCTTCGTGCTGCTCACCACGGCCACCTCCATTGCCATATGGGTGGTGTGGATCGTCATGTATACCTACGGCAACGAGCAGCGCAACAGCCCCACCTGGGATGACCCCACGCTGGCCATCGCCCTTGCCGCCAATGCCTGGGCCTTTGTCCTCTTCTACGTCATCCCCGAGGTCTCTCAGGTGACCAAGGCCAGCCCAGAGCAAAGCTACCAGGGGGACATGTACCCCACCCGGGGCGTGGGCTATGAGACCATCCTGAAAGAGCAGAAGGGTCAGAGCATGTTCGTGGAGAACAAGGCCTTTTCCATGGATGAGCCGGCTGCAGGTGGGTCTCTGTGGATGCCCCCAGTGGCCCCTTTCTCCAT